TTTTTTTTTTTTTTTGAGATGCTTTTCAGGTTGAGAATGCTGTCTACAGCTATACCACTCTGAATACACCCGATTTCATAAGCTAAGCAGGGGCAAGCCTGGTCAGTACTTGCATAGGAGACTGAGAATGTTGCACAAATTTTAAAATGTGTTCCCCAAAGCAAATGCCTTGAAGTTACTGTGTGATCAGATCAGTTTGTCCTGAGCAAAGGAGTTTTGGGTTGATTTACTTACGTAAACGTCTTATCCAAGCTGATGGACAAACCAATAAAATATGCTGATGCTGATGGTGTACCCTTTCTGTTTACCTAGAACATGAAATTTCAAATAGTTTTATTTATAACTGTATAATAAGCAAATTCTTAAACAAAATCTATGCATTAATGAGACTACCTATTTGCAAAGTTTTCTAAGAATGAATGCATGCAGAAATGTATATACTAAGTTATGTTCTTCCTAGAAATAAAAAGATGCACATAATTTAACAACATACATTTATAAGGCAAACACCTTGGGTCATTCTCTATAATATCAAATGCTTATAATGAGTATTGGAGACACCTTTTTCAAAAAGAAAGTAGCTAGTGAGGATTGTGCATCAAAGGAAAAAATTTTACCTATAAGGATTTGATATGTAATACAGGTTTGAAATATGTAAAATACTACACAAATATATCTTAGGATACATTCTAAGAATTTCAAAGCAAGGCCACAAAGATGATATGTTAGGCCATACAATCATATCATTATAATTAAATGTATTTTTCTCCTTCTGTAATGATGAACTTATTTTTTGCTGTACCCCTTTCTACTTGTCTGGCAAACAAAAAGTACACTATAAAGATTTTTAATCAATAAAATACTTGGCCAAGCACCCTTTGAAGAAATAAATCAGACCTTCCATAATAAATGACAATTCTGGAATAACCAAGAAAGATTTTTATATGAATAATCATACAATACTATGTATCAGCCAATGATTTGATCCAACAAAGCAGGTATTTTAATTAATAATGAAGCTGTCTGATATACAAAGGGTCTTTGATTGATATATAACAATTAGTTAAGAATTGTAACTTTTGCACAACATATTAATAAACTCAAAGCTATCAAATATGGATCCTTCCAAAGCCCAGACTATTCTGCCCTGAACAGCCAAACCATAAGGAATCTTTGCCACAATGGCCTCTCTTTCAGGCATGCACAGCAGTAACTGACCTCAGGAGCCTCAACTTCAGCACATAGCTTGAAATGTCATGGGTTGCCACCTGCAGGCATTAACTATATTTATAACATGTCACTATCCCATTCTTAGCTACATTCTTACATATTTCCATAGAAACTTCTTTTCACTTTCACTTTTAACAGTAACCAGATCACCAAAATTCCTCTGGCAAAATGCTCGAGCGTTTTCCATACTTTCCTTCTCTTTGCTAAAATAATACTGGTACTCTTTGTAAACAACCCACCCATCTTCAGTGACTGGCGGATCTGAAAACATAATGAGAAAAAGTGATGAGTGTTATTTACATTAAAAAAGAAAAATCAGGTATGGACAGAGGAGCTGTGTGAAAGATGAGGGACCAGAGTTAAGAAAACGTCTACGCCAAGTAAGATAGCAGGCCAAGTATCTACCTTCCACAATTCCGTTAAAGCCAGCCACCTTCTTTTTCCAATCAAGTTCCACAGGTCCACATTGGGTAAAAGAGTTCTTAGTATTACTCTAATTAACTGAATAGCCCAGCTGGAAAGATTTACACATGTGTACACAGGATGTCCCAGGTCCTCTAGGTCCTACCAGTGAGAGCTATGGGTAACTGGATTTCTTCCCTGTCTAACAGATGGATTGGGCATGTTAGAACAGAACTGGAGACCAATGAATTCACATACCAGGATGTCAAGGCTTCTTCCAAATCGTGGCATTCTAGGTTTCTATGCTGTGGAAGACTAAGAACTGCTGAAGATACTAATTCTAACCCATGTCACCTGTGAATACTATCTTATAGTGAAGGCAACGTTATAGATAAAACTAAATTAAGGATCTTTTTTTTTTTTTTTCCAGAACTGGAGATTGAATTCAGGCCCTTACGCTTGCCAAGGAAGTGCTTATTCCACTGACCTTGAGAAGCAGGGGACACCCTGGACTCCCTGGATGAGCCCTGAGTATTACTCCAGTGTCCTTATGGCGGGCCACAAAGGCAATGTGACAACTGAAGCAAGATGCTGTATTGCTGGTTTTAAAGATGGAGGGAAGAAGCACAAACTACCTTTTCGATTTGGGTGCTCTAGAAACTAGTAAAAATAACGAAAGAGATTTGCCTCAGAATCTCTGGAAGGAGCATGGATATGCTGACATTTGGATTTTGGCCCAATGAGAGTGATTTCAGATTTACGACTTCTAGAACTGCAAGGGAATAAATGTGTATTCTGTAGGCCACCCTATTGCAGTGGGATTGGTTACTGCAGCCACTGGCCATCTGTTAAGAGGATCCCTGGCCCTTGAATTTGATTCATAGACCCATGGGATGTTGTATTAATAGGTCTTCTGTTGGTGTATTTGTGTGCATGTCAGGGAGGGATACTTCTCTCTGGAGAGGACAATCCAATCTTCCACAAGATTCTCAAAGTACTAGAAACTTCTACCTTCCTACAATTTTTACGAACATAGAAAAGCTGGGAGAAACAATTCACATAGCTATCAGAAAATAGAGAAAAACCTACTTTCTTGTGGAGCTGGTGTTGGCTCTGGATTTGGTGTTTGCCCTGTAAAGAAAAAGAAAATTAGTTATAAACACCCTCCAATCCTTATATTTTCATGGATCAAAACTGCTAAAAATCCTTACCATCCACCTCCGAACACACACAGACTCATTTTCACTTACATCGTGGGGAGTGGAATAAAGGAAAAGGAATTAGAAATTAATATTTAAACAAATTATGGAAATAATGGCCTGCAGAAATTGGAAGACAGTTTGTAGGCACCAGTCGTATCATATAAAGCAAAGAAAAGGGATATGAGTTCTAGAGTCAGGAAGTTTGCCTGCAAATTCAAAGCTTGATTTAAGTTGTTTAGCCTTCATTTTCTTAATTACAAAAAGGAATGAGGGAGCCAGGAAAATAGCTCAGTAGAATAAGAGCTTGCCTGGCAAGCACAAGGTCCTGAGTTCAATCCTGGGTACCACAAAAAAAAAAAAAAGGAATGAGTAAAATGTGTAAATAGGGTAAAATACAGCATGTGAGTTATGAGTATGTGGTGGGTGCTCAATAAAGATAAGCTTTCCACAGAACAGAGGATGCAGGAATGATTCCAGGAATATTTAGCCATTTGATCTTTGTCAAAGGAGCCAAACACATAAGATAGCCTCTTTGATACATGGTTCTAGGAATACTGGCTATCCACATGTAAAAGATTAAACCTAATCCCATATTATTTAACATGTACTAAAATAAAATCAAAATAGATTTAAAAAATCTAAACATTAATACAAATAATCTACTGGAAGATACTCTTGTAAATATAGGGATGGGCAAAGACTTTCTGAATGAACCTCAACTGCAAAAACAAAATAACATATATAATAGTATCAAGAATCAACAAATGGGTTCACATCAAATCAACACAGCAAAGAAAACAGCCAAAAAGAGTAAAGAAACATGGAAAAATATTTCTAGTATCTACTCCTTGGACAGAGGACTAATATCAAGAATATATGAAGATTCCAAAGCAATGAGATACCTCCAAATAAAAGAGCCAATGAAAAATGAACAACTGAAATGAACAAATGCTTCTTGGAATATGAAGTATAAATGGTCAACGCATTCAAAATATTCAAACTCTCTGGCCATTAGAGAAACACAAATTTAAAAAATATAGATACAATCTTACTTCCTCCCAAATAGTAATCATCAAGAAATGAAGTAATAGCCCTTCTATATTTTTGGTGGGAATGTAAGCTAGTGCAACCACTATTGAAACCAGTATGGAGATAGCTCAGAATACTAAAAATAAAAGTTTCATTCAACCTAGTTATTCCCCTTGCAAGGTATATTTCTGAAATAGTTAAAGACTTCGTATTACAGTGATCCATGTGTACCCCTATTTATAGCAACACAACTCATAATAGCTAAATCTTGGAACCATATTATGTGTCCACAAACAGATGTGGTATTTATTTTAAAATGTGGTATTTATACACAATACAATTCTACAGGGATAAGGAAATATACATTGGAGTCATCTATAGAAAAATGGATACCATAATATTAAATGCAATAAACCAGGCACATAAACTTAAATATACCATGCTTTCACTTAAATAATAATCACAAATTAAACAGTGAAATAAAAGACAGAAAACAGGAAACAAGGAGCGAGATCTTTGACAAATGGGAATAGGCCCCAGATCTGGATGGAGAAGGGAAGAAGGAGGGAAGAGATCACGAAAAGAATCACACCGTGTGATGCCCATGCACCAGCTCCGCACGAAGGAGCTAATTACCATGCCTGCAAACATGGACCAACACAAGTGAAAATTTTAGAAAGTTACTAGTTTTCCAGACAGAAATTTTATAATTAGCTGTGAATTTGCTTATAATTTCATTATCTGAAACTATTTCATATGTACTACTTGTTTAGATAACACAAACACATTTTCTTCAAAGAATCTTACTAAATACATGATTTCATAAAATTTTAGTAAGATAATTTTCTTTCCAAGTGGTTAATATGTCTAGATGGTGTTGGACTCTGATGAAAAGACTCGTAGCGCAAAGCTACAGAAAGGTCAGTACTAGTCATTGGTAGCTGCGAGATCTTTTTGAAAACCTTGGCTCATTGGAGAAAGCATAAGGAAAGCAGGAAGGAAAATATGGAGGAAGAAGAAAAATATTCAGACGGCGGGAGAGCAGGGCAGTGCCTCCAGCAGTGGAGCTGATGGTGCAGGCAGTTCCCCAACAGCACAGGGCAAGGCAGATCCCTTTATCTACTTGAAGTGGAGAAAGTTGTTGTTCCCTAATTTTTTTGTCCAAGAATAGGTTTGTCAGAAATTATTGACCTGAGTCCCCCACAGCTCAACATCAGGTCAATAATTTCTGACATTGCCAGTTAAACAGAAGACCCAATGCTATTATGGGCTACTGGACTCTTTTAGAATATTTTGCTGAGTTTACACACCTATAATATTCAATAACGGAACTTAGAAAAAATGGGGTATACCGATGAATGTCTATTTTGTATCTGTGTATTCAAAGTGGTTGGGATAGATATATAGTTGCATTTTCTTAATGAATAGAATGATTTGTTCTAATGGTGTTTGTAAATAGGATCTCAAGTCCGCATCTTGTACAGCAATTAACCAGTAAGAAGAATATATGCAGTGTGTTATTTGTTGAATCTGTACTTCCGATTTGATTTGAAACTGTCTCATTGCTATCTGTTTATCAATAAAATTTTGGGAAAAAAATGAAAAAAAAAAGAATAGGTTTGTTTGTTTGCTTGCTTTGCATAACCTAAGGGCCTGGATTCTCTAACCCTGAAGCCTGACTTGGCTATGTGGAACTTTCATAACAGGGTGAGTCTGAAGGCAAAAGGAACCTTGAGATAGTGTTCATTCATAGCATTGAACACTTTGGAAATCAATACTTCAAACAGTCAGATTTGGAGAAAAGTTTACCTAGATAGTAATTAATACTGAAGTCCAGCAGGGAAGATTTCCAAAAAAGATACTGCATTGACTTTCCCTATTCTGCTTCACAGTGCAGGACAAGCCCCTCCCATCCAATCCTGCCACGGCAGATCCTGGGCCAGCAGCGCAGCTGCTCATTGGGACAGCTCTAGTGGATGTGACTCTTGTCCAGAACTCCGGGGTGGCCTTTTGATCTTCTGTTCCTTTGGAACATTTATCTGTGCTTAGTGACTTCCCTTTTATCCTGTGAAGTGACAACCCCTGACTGCTCCTTTATTCTGTTATTTTACTTGTTTCAAATAATAAAAGGAAAATACTGGGGTGTCAGGATGGTTTTCCAATCTGACAGGAAGAGGAAGGCAAGTGACCCCCACCTTTTTGTATTTGACAAATCCAGTTGTTCAGATGCTCACAGTTGATGTCATTCCACTGCATGCTAGGGTCTCCTTTCATCTCACCACAGTACTCAACGTTGTTGTAATTATTGGGTTCTCCAAAAGCCCAGTTTTCATAGGTTACCTGTATTAGAAACATTACACTTGATTTTAGCCAGTAAGTCAAGGATCAATACTCTATTAAATCAGAGCTGTTATCACTTATGTCAGGCCAATGCCAATCAACTATTCAAGCAGAGAAAAACATACGCGTGCATTTCTTCATCCATTTACCCTTTTGTCGAACAATTTATGTACATGGGTAGAAAATGAACACCTTTTGCTACATCGAAACTTTTTTAGCTGAAGACAGTAGACAAGTGGTTGTTGCAGCATTTTCTTTACTTTCATTAAATAGAATAGATTCAAGCACCACAAAAGTAGAACTTATATAGAGGAAAAACTTTGCAAGAATTCCACTTCTCAGTATTGGAAATTGCTAAATTGGCAACAGCCTTAAGAGGCAATATTTCAGTGACTTTCTGGAAACTTTTGCTTTACTACATGAGTAGGATAAAGAAATACAATAAATTCTTACCAAAGAAAATGACCAATAAAATGTTGCTAACCAAGCTGCCAAACATTGCCAAAATGAATAGCAGACATAATGGAAAGCCGATTTGATTTGAAATTTCAGGTCCTTCAGAGGTATTTCAGGTCCTCTGTGAAATTTTCAGTGTATAATCAGAGCCTACAGAGTTTTCAACTAAACACCATGGTCTATTTCTAGAAATACAAATATAAAATCCAAATATTAATGGCTCCATAAAACAGACCATCTTCCCATGTGCCTTGAAAAGTTGCTAGCGGGTTATACAAGAAGGCAGAAGTGAAATTGTACAAAATCATTTCCTGTGACAACCACAGCAGCTAAATATTGCCAGCACTGCCAGAACTTCTCATTTCTCCAGTTCTAGGAATGGAGAAGTCCATCAGGCCTGGACAGCTACCAGTGGGACGGCCACAGTTATGCTACTTACACTGATGTACAAAAGGATTGCGTCTGCTCAGTGTTGAAGAAGTGTAACACTACATGCCCCAATGTTGTACAGAATGAAGATATTTTAGATAAACTACTGGAGTAAGCAGTGTTTCACCCAGGAAGCCACAGCTATGCTTTTGGTAAGCAGAACTAATACAGACAATAGCAAAATAGTAATCTTAAGCTCATGTTTATTTTGTATAAAAAAACTCCAGCTATCATCATAACCTGTCTTACAAATAATTGATTAAACCAAAGGATATAAAAAATGAATACATGATAAAGAAAATGACAGATTAAATCAAATTGCTCACCGGAGAGCCAGAACTCCAAGTGAAGCCCTCTGAACTACCATAGGTTAGTCCCAACCAGAACATCTCATGATAACTTCTAGTGCTCCTGCAAAATACAAAGAGGACATATGCTACTACATGCTCAATCTTCGTCACCCATAAGAGTGAATCAGAATTGCAAGTTACCTCTAAAACAAAGTTTGGTAGTACAGAAGTCAATGAATTTAGCAATCAAAAATAAAATACAAAAGATGTACATTTTGGTACAACCCATAAATTTCTTGACAGGAAGTCTCTGCTTCAAAATAAATTAACTATAAAAATCATTGGAAGATGTTTATTCATTCACTCTACAAGTATATAATGGACATCTTTTACCTTTACAGAGTAATACATTGATGGATTTCCATGTATAACGTTAAGGAATCTTAAACTCAAACTAGATCAAAAAGGTCCCATGGGTTTGAAACATGACACAGATGTCCTGAGTAGTATCCTGAACCAACAATTTCAGAAACACAAATATTTTCTCAGTATCATTCACACCAAATAGGGAAAAGAAGGAAGCATTACATAGGAAAGATATTTACGTTATCAATCTCCATATGGCTTGCAGTTCCTCCTTACTCTTGATAGTAGCTAGCTCTCCACCCAGGGCTCGACAAAAATCTCGAGATTCAAACCATGTTTTCTTCTCATGCTTTCCTTTTGCAAAAAGCTAAAGGTGATATGATTTCAGAAATTATTTTATACATCATAGATGATCAAATCAGAAGAAATAATCATTTACTTTAGATGAGATTTCATTGATAGGAAAGCAAAGGATTGTCATGGCCTCAAACAATGTGATTCTCTTGATTTCAAGTCAATTTATTAGTAACTACTTGGGTTGCAAAATTCAGATCATGGTTTTGTTGAGGAAAAGAGAACTGAGATTAAAATCTTAGAAACTGTAGGCATGTGAATTAAGTAAGCAGCTTACTGTAGAAGGCAGGATTAATTTGGTCAAGTGTGAACAACAGCACCGACAGTCATCTGGTAGAAATGGGTTAGAAGCTGAACTAACTTCAATAGGCTTTATAACTTAAAGACCAAATCCTATTATCCAGAAGACTGCAAACAGAACCATAAGTGGAATTCACAGTGACATTCCGGGACATGCTCATCTGTATCAAATAGTATCTATATTAAACTCAAACTAGACCAAAAAGGGCCCATGAGTTTGAAACATGATACAGATGTCCTGAGTAGAACACTCTCCATTACTCCCCATCAACTTTTATAATTAATATTCATTTTTCTTGTGAATCATAGCCCCCACCATATGTTTGTGGAAAAAAAGGAATTTGTTTCCAATGGATCACACCTACCAAGTGGTAATGTAAAATGACTTTGCCCTTGAACTTAATCTGCCCTTGGTTTGAGCTATCTGATCAGAGGTGTCTGAGTCAGTTTCTGTATCAGGAGCTCCCAGGACTCCTATAAGTACTTCAATGTACTAGATTTTGATATGAGATTTTGTTTCCTCAAATAAGTTTGTTTACATCTAAATTTTGTTAATCTCAACATCTTGATACTTACAAACACAGCCTATGTGTTTCCAAACCAACCCTAACAAGGGACCTCTAAAATCATGTAGTTTCCAATGAAACACATGTTGCTCTGTGGCACATCCACCGGATATTGTCTACATTGGAATTACTAGTCTACTTTCAAACTGTACACATCTCTGCTACTCCTCTCAAATAACTGTGATAACCTCCATACCCTACCACCCTCTGGTGAAGGACTACATATAAGATGATTCTGGTTTTTGTTCAGTGATGCAAGCTTTCCAGAGGTACTGACAAAATATCTGACTTGCTTTGTGTTAGGTTTTTGATACTCCACTTACAAAACCCTTCTTTGTGTCTTAGCTCAATACATTCCCTCTTGTATAAATTACACTTTCAATACTGATTGGACCACATCAACCAAGTATAACCTTGAGTTAGAGAAGACTAGACAACTTCATTCTGAAATAATTTCTTTCCTTACCCCCAGAGTCAGAGATTGAACTCAGAGTCTTGCACATACCAGGAAGCACTCTACCACAAAGCTGTGTCCCTTAGGCCTGACAAAAGCCCTTCATTGGTCTTGACATACTACCTCGAAAGGTATGGTATGGCCATGTGCTATCCAAAGGGATAATGAACAGAGATCCTGAATGCAGAACAGTGCCAGTAAGCACTATATATGTTTTTATATTTGGCTGTTTTTTAGGGAAGACATGACTTATAAGAGAGAAACAAGACTCAAATCCTTAATTCATTGGAGGTTTTATTTGTTTCTGTTTTAGCTTCCATTTTTGTTTAGCTGTTTATTTGGGTGAACTTGATTGCATAAGGAAGAAATTGATAGCCCAAAGTGAGAAGATATAAAGTAATAGAATATTGAATTATCATTTAAAGGGCATTGTGAAGTCATGTGTCCCTATCAATGCCTTTATCTCCCCACATTATGATCACTGGGGGCTAAATTAGAAAAAAGGAGAATTCTCTCTAGAAAAACATATGTGGCATTATAGATCAATCAGTTATGCTAACTAAAATCTCGGATTCCAAGAACAGAACAAAAATGAGATGCAACAGGACAGCATGAGGGGGAACAAAATTTTTCATAAAGATGGAAAGACTTATGAGCTGATAATAAAAACAGAGGGCCTAAGAGAAAGGAGAGATAGAGAGAGGTCATGACAGCAATGATCCAGGCAAAGAAGATTGTGAGTTGCATTTGCTTGTTCATTATTTTTGTTGTGGTAAATACACCTTGTCATTAGAATCCCACCAAGGAAATCTTGAAAACAATCTCTGCAGGTAAAGGTTACAGAACAATATGTTCTCTTTTTGTTTTTGTTTTTGTTTTTAATTCCTTAGTGATTCTTAAAGATAATGGATAATCAAAATTTTATTAGCTTAGTAATTGATACTTACCTTGAAACATGAGCTTGTTTTACTGGTGGTGCCCCAATCCTCTGGGCATTTGGGCTCAGGAGTTGTTGTGGGCTCTGGCGGGCGAGTTACTCCTTCAGCCCAGTGCTTGCATACAAATTTTGCCTTCTGATCACATTTCAGAACATCCCATAAGCCCCCTGCAATCCCAGTCCTCATGGCAACACAACCTGCTATTCGTCCTGCATTTAACAGTAAACACAGGCAATAGAATTCACTCAACAGGTGCTCACTAAACATTATGGTTCTGATGGAGAAGATGCCCCAAAGCCCTGCACACTCAGAGGTGAGGCTTGGGGAAGGGAACTGGATTGTGGGGGTGCTCTGCTCACTAGGGAGCCCACCTATGAATGGGCTCATCTGCTGAATGTGTTGTTAGGAGCTGGGGCCTGGTGGGCGGGGAGCGCGGGGGGTGGGGTCGTCGTGCTGAAGGGCGTATATATAGCTCCCTCTCAGGTCTTCCTCTGTCTCCACCAAGATGTGAGCCTTTTTCTCTGCCAGACCTTTCTACCATGCCCTTCCTGCCTTAGAGCCAGCCAACTACAGTCTGAAAACATGAGCCAAAATAATCTCTCCTCCTCTGAGTGGTGGTGTCAGGTGTTTTGTCCCAGCAAGGAGAAAGTGATTCAGACACTGAAGATCCACCCTGGTCACAGGAGACAGCTCAAAGCTGAGTACAAATGTGTGTGCTAAAGTCTATGAGCAGCGAGAAAGCTACAAGAAGCTACTGCACTGGTGTGGGTGGTGTTCACTTTTCAAACCATTCTTGGTTTTTATTTGCGTGGTCTATATCCCAAACTTACGATATTAAGCTAAGTATTTTTTAAAATAACATTTTGTATTTCTAACATCTGGCATTTAATGACACAGAGCTTTTAGTATAATGATCAAATCAGCCATGATGGCAAGAAATAGTGATTTAATGGACTCTCCTTCCTGCCTGCCTTACTCCCTTCCTCCTTGGGCTCCAGTTTGATGTACTGTTTTGTTCCCTGAGGACATTCAAGAACACACCTCTCAGAATCTTACTGCTGAATGAGCAACAGATATAAAGGAAAGCTCAAGAATAAGAATCACCAGATGTTTTTAAAGTATACATTCAGTTCTTAATATGCTACTCTATTATTTTACAAATTACCTAAGATTTTAGTATTTTATAGCATTTAATGATTTTATAATTCAACAAGAATCACATGTTCTGATTATTAATATATTTTCCTTATTGAAAGCTGAGAATTCAAATTAAAATAACTCCTAGTGATTAGAATATAGTAGGCAAAGTATTAAATTCCTACTGATGGACTATTATTCCTTTTTTAGCTTTTGACCCAGGTACAATGAAACATTCCCTACAAAGAATGTTGAATTCTCTGGATGCTATCATCTTGTATGATGTATATGCCAGTGTAGAAGAAGATAAAGAATTATTCAGATTCCATTTCAGAAATTACTTATAGTCTCTAATCATGGAAGACAAATCAAAATCAATAGCTGGGTGGGTAATACAAATACAAACAGCACAAGTTGGCAACTACCCAGCTTAGTCTAAATCTATGCTTAGAAACTTCTTAATCACATAACTTTTTAAAGTCCCAATTTCTACATCCTTTTACCAGGAACCAAACTCAGGACTTCACATTTGCCACAAGGCGTTGTGCCCTTGAGCTAAATCTTGGCCCTCTACATCTTTTAAATGAAGATATTTAAACATAGCCTCCAGGGTTCTTGTAAGGACAGAATAAAACTCAAGGTATGTGAAGGGCTGAACACAGCCACACATTCAAGATAATCAGAATAATACATTCCGCATAAGCACTGCCTTTACTATGCTCCTCAAAAGCACTATTTCCATTCATAGCTGCACTGAACAGCTTTAGATATGTTTCATATAGTTTTAAGGAATATAAATTTTCAGGAATAATATGACCAATCGAAACATGCATGACCGTTTAGGATTTTATAAATGTTTTGCAAATAGACCAAATAACTAGCGGTTTTCTTTTCTTTTTTCCTTAGAACACTGTAAATTCATTGGGATTTGACTAAAAAATAGAGGAAAGGAAAAAAATAGAAATATAAAAAGTTAGGGAGAGCACAATGAGCTTGTGGGGTTCAACTGGTTGCACAATCCACTTAGAAAGGTATACATGGGGGTGGGATCTCGCTTGCTGAGTGGGCGGGCAGCGGGAATGAAGCCCGTGGGCCCCGCCTGGCACCTACCTGGCATATCTGCATTCCAGTGTGTGAACCGGACCTCCTCTTGTATGGTCCACTGAAAGGTGCCTTTGACTTGTACATCCGAAAGTCCTGTCCAAAAATATTTTTCAGGCCTCAATCCAACCAAACTAGTCAGGAATGCTTGTTCATATCTTTAAAATAAAAATTAAGATTCAACTAGTCTTTAGAAACATCGATAGAAATTTTTGAATTATCAACCTGAAAACTATCTCAGTTCTCTGAGCTATGGTTTAGATGGTGATCTAATGTATTTCATTTATATGTCATTTCAATTTTAATAATTTTCACTAAAGAAATGAGTTTGGGGGACTGGGGAGATGGCTCAGTAGGATAAGTGCTTCCCTGGCAAGTGGAAAGGCCTGAGTTCAATCCCTGGTTCCGCAAAAAAAAAAAAAAGAGTTAATGGGGGAAAATGTCATATACCTGGACAAATAAAGTGATTTAAAATGCTCAGATTATTTCTTTCCAGCTTCTATACCCTCTCTGCCCTCCTCAAAATCTAAAAGAATTTTTTAAAACAAAATAATTTTGAAAACAACAACTTAAAGAACTCGTTTAAAATTCTCAGCCCACTTTTCAAATAATCCAAATTCCCTACTTGATTCTTTTTGTTGTTGTTGTTGTTGTTTTTCTTTTGAATTTTGTGCAGGGTCTCACTATGCAGCTTGGTCTCAGTGATCCTACTGTTTCAGCCTCCCTAGTGCTGGGATTACAGGCATATGGCACCACACACAGTCTCAGTGGTTGGCTCAGCATGCCTGGGGGTGGGTCAGTGTTCCATGTGGTGTCAGGGATTGAACCCTGGTCCCTGTGCCTGCCTAAGCAGGTATTTAGTTGGCTGAGTTATCTTGCCAGCCCTTCTACTCGATTCTTAATTATTCAACTAAAGAGAAACAATAATACCATCTAGAATATACAAATGAAATATTCTCATGGATTTTATTCCTTAAATTTCATATCTCAGCCCTAAAACCAAAACTGTCAAGAAATGCACAAAAGCAAATCCAGTTTCTAGAAAGATCTGGGAGCAGAAGGAGGAATTCTAATACCTTTTTGCCCTGTAGATTTGCATTTACTAAACTAGTATAAACTGGTAGCAATGCAGTTCAGTTGGCAAGACAACCAGAGCAGAAAAGGAAGGTAGGAGTCTTAGCAATAATAGAGTATTTATTAGACTGCAGTCTAATTCACACCCTAAACAGAGTGAACACCAATAGATCCAAATGTAATTACTTTTCTTAAAAGTCTGAAAATCAAATTTGGCAACAGAGTTAGTGAGTGCCACATTACAGACATCACAGAAAACACTTAAATTAAAACAAATATAAAATGCAGTGAAGTCTTGTACATAGTTCTCCAACAGACCAATTAGAGCACAGGCCAGAAAGAGTCCCCATGAGCAGTTTGCCTCCTTTGTTATGAGGCAGAAAGTATCTACACGATGATTTCAAATGTGTGCCTTGTATGACATGCCACAAAAAAATAACGTAAGGTGAAAACAGTTCTTTTATAAAGACTGCACAATACAAATGTTATATGAGGTTCATTTTATCAAATGATTTTTCAAATCAGCCTTCTAGATTTTTATTGGGCCTGCCTTGAAATACCAATGTATATCATTTATTATATTGAAATTCAATGGCTGTTTTCTTCTTCTAATGGACACTTTTGAGCTTCTTCTAAGTTTCTTCACTGTCTTATCCCAGGCTTTGCAAAGAGTAGGCGAAGAATAAATAAATGATTCTCAAACATAGATGGGACCCTAAAAACCAAAATCACCTAAAATCTTCTATTTCCATTTGATTTATTAACCTATCGGTATACTAATTAAGCAAAGCAAAGAAAGAAGTAGATGAATGGAAAGAATGAATAAATGATTTAGTGTGATATTTATCTATCTATCTATAGTTATAGCCATATATCTAAGCATAACTCTGACCTACCTTGTCTGACAGTAAGTAGGTCCTAAAAGCCCACCCGCTCATACAGAAGGGTCCTTCCCCAGACTACAGAGAGAAGAAGGCAAAGAAGAAACTGAACACATAGGCCTTGCATGGTTTCCCCCCTCAGGCTATGAGGTATCATGCCTGAGCAATGCTGTCTCTGTAAAAAAAAAAAAAAAAAAAAAAAGGACAGAGTCTAGAAAGCTCCCAGATAGATGAGTGCATGCGGTATCTGGGGCCCATACAAGCAGAAAAGGCATGAGAGCCTCGCCCCTTCTCCCACACCGCACATTGTGCACCTTTCCATCTGTATCATTTACAACAAACCAGTAAATAAAATGTTTCCCTGAGTTTTCGGAGCTGCTCGAGCAAACTAGATGAACCCAAAAGGAGGGCACGGGAACTGCTCTCTCTAGCCTGTCAGTAGCACAGAGAGAAGATCCAGGAGCGTGAGCCTGGTATCTGAAGGGATGAGTGGGGACAGACTTGGAGACCAAGCGCTCAACCTAACTCCATCTCCAGAAAGACAGTGCCAGAAAGGAACCAGATTGGAGGATTCTCAGCTGGTGTGCGCAACAGAACAGTTTACTGGCTGGTGGTGAGAAGTTCCCACACCTGGGAAAGTCACCAGTGAACTGTGCTGGGATGGATGGTAGGAGATGCTGAGTTTGAGGTAGTCTTTCTTTCTGCAAACCCACTTTCATTCTGTTGTCTTTTCATGGTGGAAGATAGACTGTGGGATATGGAGCTGTACAATTTATTTGCTATAAAATGTTGATGTAGGGGCCAGCTAGATAGCTCAGCAGTCTAAAGCACCTGCTTAGGCAAGCTTAGGCAAACGCAGGGACTATGGTTTGATCACCAGTGCCACATGCTGCACCAGCCCTGCCCACAGGACAGGCTGAGCTGGCCACAAAAAAAAAAAAAAAAAAAAAAAGGAAAAAAGTTGATGTATACATTGGAAAAAAGTTAAATCTATAAACTACATTCAGAAGATTATTAGTAAACCGTTCTGAATATTACTGTGTAGTACTAAAAGCACCAAAATAATTTTAATGTTCGAAATGAAACATCTAAATAAGAATATGAGTTTTAATTTTTTTTTTTTTTTTTTTTTTTTTGTATTTAGGACAGGGTCTAGGGTCTCACTATGTACTTTGGGCTCATAGTGATCCTCCTGTTTTCAGCCTCCCAAGTGCTGGGATTACAGGCACGTGCCACCACACCCAATCTCAATTGCCATCTCTCAGCATGCCCCCAAGAGCAGGGCCAGCACAGCACACTGGGGATTGAACTCCAACTGATGTGCTCTGTCTAAGAACCCCAACTGCTGTGCTCTGCCTAAGCAGGTACTTTAGTCTGCTGAGCTACTTGGCCAGTCCTAAGAATATGAGAAATGATGTTTTTGCTCTTTATAAACCATACCTCGGGATCACACTGAGTTTGTCCAGAAATTATGAAGATTCTGATAGGATTTTCTGAAACTTTTCATTATATGAGACAGTTTAAAATGAAATTAAAAGCTACATACCTGTCTTCAACAGTTGTTAAATAAGCCTTCTCATTTTCGCATGTTTGGTTTGCTTCTGTAAATGTGGACAGTGTGTTTCCAATCAAATAGCAGTAAAAGCCATGTCTTTTCCAGCCCTGTTAATGTCATCAAGTAATAAAGAAATAAGCAGATTATTATGCATATTTATAAGAAATATTATTTAATATTATTTAATAATATTAATAATGAGACAAACTGATGAAATAGCAAGGCCTAAAGAACCCAAATTTGAAGGATTTGAAATGAAAATTTCATAGCTAAATAAAAAAAAACAATAGTTTATGGTTCCTCACATGACAAATTACAGGACTAAACTGAAGGGGAAGGATGTCATTCTCTTCAATTCAAATGAATGTTCCAAGAAGTCTATATGTGAAGTGTTGAGTCACCAATGGGAATGAAGGGAATGAATAAGATTTAAGTTAAGAGTAGGAAGGCGAGGGAGATAGCTTAGTGGCAAAAGTGTCTGCTTGGCAAATGCAAGGTCCCAAGTTTGATCCCTAGTAGCACATGCCGTGTTGGTCCCAGAACCCCAAGCATGCCATGCTGGCCCTGGAACCCAGCATGGTGGTACACAAGTGTAATCCCAGCACTAGGGAGGCTGAGACAGGAGGATCACTGTGAGTCAGAACTGCATAGCGACACCCTGTATCAAAAAAGGGAGAAGGAGGAGGAGGAGGAGAAATAGAGAACCCCAGAAAATAATCTGGGCCATATCATGCCTAGCTACCTATTAAGCCAAGTGAGTAGAAAACAAAACTCTATTATCTGGTCATGGAAGAACACCTGTAACATCTCAGGAAATAGGTAACATGGTTTGATGTGGCCCTCTCCTGTACTATACTTCAAGAACCCAGAAATAGTAAGTGAAAACATGACAGCAAAATTTAAAAAAACCCATGCCAGAATTTGAGAGGAACAAGGGGAACACATCAGGTACCAAAATAAGCAGAATACTAAAAGCTGAACAAAAACTGGACAAGCTATTCTTGCCTGTTTCTTGAGTCAAATATAGATTAGGGTCCAACAGGGCTGGAGTATTTCTTTCCATACAGGCGTGGTGGCACACACCTATAATCCCAGCACTCAGGAAGCTGAGGCAGGAGGATCAGTACAAGTTCAAGGCCAGCCTGGGCTACATGGTAAGAACTTATCTCAAAACAGCAGGAGAGGGAGGAAGAAGGAGCAGGAGGGGGAGGATAAGGAGAAAGAGAAGAAGAAGACGACAATATTTGGTCTTTAACCCAACCAGGGCAGGGAGTTGAAATGAGGTCCTTGTACGAAGAGGACACCACTAAGGGCAGCACTTCCCTGAAAGGAGAACTAAACTGGCACAGGTAGGTGCCAGTTCTGGCTTTATACTGTTTGTGTTGTATGGAAATCTATGGCCCATAAATTCAAGTTATATTTGTTCTACCAAAGGGAAATCTCTCAGGTACTCAAAGAAATAGAATACAAAACCATACAAGAGAAATATTTTGAAAAACCAGATTGTGAGGTTAGTATGGGAATGAACATGGCTACTAACTCACAATCAAAAATGACAAATCATGTGGGAAAATGTCCCCAATGTAAGAGAGTCTGCAATGTAATAGAGCAATCTGATAAAGATTGTCTAAAAATGAGCCCATTTGAGATGACTTAATAACAAAAGAAATAAATCCATTGACAAAAGATCAAAATACTACGTGCAAAGAATCAGAAGATTTAAACAATAAAGAGAATTTCTAGAGAACATATACAGAGACAATATCTTTTAAAACACAGTGGCCATATTTCATAAAGTAGGGTTTTGGAGAGAATTAGTAAATAGGATGACTATAGCACAGGAAGAGAGATGAAAAAGCAAAAGGGACTTGAAGAATAATGAGGCTGAACACTGATCTAAGTTTCACAGAAATGAATAAAATTAACAAGTGTTAATTTTCAAGAACTGAAAGAGATAAATGTTCAAAATGAAGAATTACACTAAGTACAAAAAGGAAAAACAAAATAAGTCCCAATCTAAATACATTGCAGCTCTCTAGCTGCCATCTTGGGTCCCCGCGTGTGTGCGCCTAATCTCAGCTGGTCCGCCCGAGACCCCCTGAGCGCCAGCCCTAGTCCCCCGTGCTGCCCCATATCCGCTCCGACAAGATGAAAGAAACTATCATGAACCAGGAAAAACTCGCCAAAC